CCCAACCCTTCCTCTCTATTGACCTATCAGACTGTAAGAAAATTCCAGAGCAGCTGCCCAATCAATCACCTCCTCTGATCATATGTGCATGTGTTTCTGCTTCTACCAGCTCCCGGCAGCCCTACTTCCTCACTCAGATCCCCCAGATTCTCGCGCTGCCCTTAAAAATCCCCAGAGATAGTGTACTTCATTTGGACACTTGCTTGCAGGAAAAGAGACTGTGGGAAGCTGAGAGGATCACAAGGAGGATCACAGAAGCAACTGTCTTCTCATTGACGCTGTGCTGTAAGGGCTACCCACTTTGCATGGTAACGTTGCAGAGCTTAGAAGCAGTCAGAGGTTCGGACATCCCTCCGACTTCTGCCTTCCCTCCCCACACCCACCCCCCCTCCTTTCCCCCACAAATATTGCTAACATCCACCCTTCCCACACACAACCCATCTTATTTCCCCTAGAAATATTGCTAACAGCTACCCTTCCCACACACAACTCCCCTCCTTTCCGCTACAAATATTGCTAACACCCACCCTTCCCACACACAACCCCTCTCCTTTCCCCTACAAATATTGCTAACAGCTACCCTTCCCACACACAACCCCTCTCCTTTCCCCTACAAATATTGCTTACAGCTACCCTTCCCGCACACAACCCCCTCCCCTGATAGTGCTACTAGCTAGCCTGAATGATTCATAGGAGCTCCCTCCATGCACAGAAACCACTTCCTTCCCTGCTCACATTGCCAGAGATAAAGCCTGTGGGGATGACACACTGTCAACAGCTTCTCTGCTGCTGCAGCCATCTCCTCCTCAGCCTGCTGTCTGAGCCCTGACAAGTTACACAATATAGTCAGGTTTCATTCAGTAGGCAGGCTGAGGAGGAAATGGCTGAAGCAGCAGAGGAACTTAGTTACTTTTTAATTTCCTCTGTCAGAATCCCCAGAAGTGTGAGCGGTGGGCGCTTTCTGTTCAGGGAGAGAGCACTCCTATCAGCATCCAGACACGCTGGTAGCATCTCCGTAGCTGCTGCATAGTGCACACTATCTCCTTTTACTTAATCACTTAATGTCAGCCAATCCCCCTCCTCAGCAAATGCTGACAGTGCAGAAATGCGCTGAAAACGTGATAGATCCAGACAATATTGTCGGGATCCACCCCACTACCTGATTGACAGCTGGCTCTGTCTCTCTAGAGGCAGTGCTGGAGGAACAGAGAGGGGAGGGGGAATCCTTGCAGGGAGCAGTGACTGACAGTCACCGCTCTCTCCAGGGAGAAGACCGTGAACTGAACAATCAGCGGTAAGTGATCGTTCAGTTGTCGATCCATAGAGCCGATGTGTGACAGCTTTAGTGTCACACATTGGCTTTAACTATGGGAATGAGTGCCTTTCTCTCTCCCTATAGTTCTTCCGTTATAGTCTTCCCCAGCTACTTGCAAAAGAAACCTTATATTTATTTTAAAAAACAGCAAGGTTCTCATTAACTGTGCACACAGACATGTATATTGTGTATGTGCACTGCTCTGTTGGAATAAGCAACACACACCACAGCTCAAGATAAATGGATCCACCCACCAACAGCGAGATATGGGGAGAACATGCTTCCATAGTCACTAGATAAAGAACAGGTGCCTCTGATCATTTGTAAGGCAGGCTCAGGTGCTGGGTGACAGATCAATCATTTAATCCAATATAGCTAATTTTAGGTCAGTACTGTGCACACTTGACATTCAAATAAAATCTATTATTTATGTAAGTTAATGTGCAACTAAAGCAAAAAATGCTTTACTAGTTTTGAGTACCTGGACAGAAAGAAAAAATAACTGTAAAAATTGGGCTTTTGTACTTTGGGGAGATTTCTTCTCACTTCCCATTGTGTTTCAGATAAAATAAGCTAAACAGAATCTCCTACAGGGGGACACAGATAGCACTGACAACCTGACATAGGTTCTTACCCTTCACTTCACTCCATCCAAAGCTAGAAATAGCTTAACCCATTTTGGTTTGTAAACCTTTTCCTCGTGACTTGATAATGTTATCCATACCCTCATGTACTCTGGAGGAACAGTTAAATCTATCTGTGTAACAGATCTGTACAATTTTGAGTACCTGAAGACAAGAGCTCTCCAGGAATTGTGATAGTTTTACAAAAGCCATTTCTGTCACAAGATAGTATTTTCAATAAAGGGGAAAAGATGACAAGAATGTAACTATTAGGCTAACCAACTAATGCCATAATAATGTTACTGTCACAGCTTTCAGCATTATGTATCTCTCAATGCATTTTAATGGGCCACCCAGATGAAGAGTATTATTTCTTTGCTCTGCCCCAAACTCATACACATTACACTGCTGCTGTGGTAATGCCTGCAATTTTACAATACATTGAATTCACTTTGAGACATTTTCGTGGATGAAAGTTAACTGCTGTATCGTGCTCTGCATTACAATTTCATAGTGTTAAATCTCCGATAAACAACAAGCACTTTTACTCTTTCATCATATATTATGCAGTCTGTACTAGTCACTCATACAATGTGCATTCAAAATTAATACATTTAATCACTATATGCAAAGCAAACTTTTAGGTGATGGTTCTTTTTTTATAAAAAAATAATAGGAACTATTACAAAGTAAAACAGCACCCGATAATATGACAGTTCTTATTTTCTAAACCCCAAAAAAGTGGCCAGAATAATAATAATATTTGTTTATGAACTACCCTTTATAAGACTTTATCATAAGATAGATCCATTAGTATTAGTTGTTAAAACAATTCTACATTAGGGGTAGGCAACACTGGCACTGCAGCTGTGGTGAAACTACAAGTCCTATGAGGCATTGCAAGACACTGGAGTGCCAATATTGCCTGCTCCTATTTTACAATTTTTATAGAGGTTGATTTAATAAAGCCAAATAGGCTAACTTTGCAAGGAAATTTGTGCCTTGCAGGGGCAACTTCCCCTTAGTTTAGTGAATGTGGTGAAGCTCTGCTGACTTCTAGCACTCAATCATGTGCAATGAAAAATACTGTTCACTTTTCCCTTGCACGTAATTGGATATTATTTGCAAAGTAAAGTTTCACCACATTCACTAAGCTAAGAGAAACTTTCCCTCCAAAGTACAACTGAGCCCACCCCTGAGGATGTCACATGACGAAATGCATTGGTGGGTGTATACACCCTGAGGTCATCCACTAGGCACCAGGAAGTGAAGAATTGTTCTGTGAGAGTGGCTAAATGAGCGTTTGCTATAGAGGACTATTGGATCCTATGTAAACCCGCCGACAGGAAGTCATGTATTGTTACAAGCATTTGCTACAGAAACTTTTGTGTGTGTTTTTAATCTTTTAAAATAAATTAATTGTTGTTATGGTATTATGCTATGGTTTTTTAAATACTTTTACATGAGCATTGGTGAATAGAGAAAAGGAGGCGAAAGGGAATACTCATGGTTTAACATCCCTGCAGATGGATGGCTGGATTGTAATCTAACTGAGTGCTATAAGACTATTTCTATCTGCATGGTCCACCTTATCTGGTGAGTGCAGTCTGTAGCCACACACAGATGGGACGATTGATCACCCGATAACATCGTTTGCACAAATTTTGTGGGGATTTTTGCACTGCTTGTATTGTTTGCACAAACTTACTGGGACTTTTGTACATGCTGATTGAGGGATTTGTAGCATAATTTGGATCACTGAATACTTCTATGAACTTTTAAAGGATGTTATTAATATTTTTAAAATGTATTTAATTATTTAAATATAGCACTGGGCAGTTTGTTCATGATTGTAAGAGGGATTACCACTCTTTGCACAGCAGCTGAACTACTTTTAGATAGTAGCAGGTAGCATGGATCATATAGATAAGTATATTCCTTGCAAAGTTGACTTACTAGAGCCTATTTGCCTCTAATCAATCAACCACACAGAGTCTAAACTTTGCTTTGTATAGTTGTCCCAAGCATGTATCGAACAATTTGCTAGATATTTAAGTCCCCTAAATATGAGTTTCTCAACATGATATCTAATCAAATTAAAATAGAAATCCAAGCAAACAGGCAAACAGTTAAAAACATATAGGTTTACTGTTGTACTGATTCCTGGACCAGCAACCTGCTCTTTGGGCCTAGACCACGATGCTGATTCATTGCCCATTGAGTAACCTGAAGAGGTGACACAAAAAGTTGCATTGTTGATCCAGCAATGAATGTGTCACCTGCATAGCAGTGAATAGCAGAAAAAGTGTGTAAATCATGAGATTGTATAGCGTCACAAATCATTGGGCAGTTAAAACAGTAAACAAATACTTATCTCAAATGTGTAGTTAGCTGTTTGCTCACAGTTCCACTTGAATACATGCTCTAATGACCCCTAATTCTAACAACCCAAAAAGTTATTGTGCCAATGCACAAACTCTCCACCTAGCCTTTATAGCAACCCAGTAAACAGAAAATTATTTACAAAGGGTCTGTTGTGCCATCAAATATGTCAACACTTTAAACTGACAGTTACATTAAAAGGAAATTTCAAATGTTAGGTCACTGCACTTTAACCTGACTGTCCGAAGAAAATGCAAGTTCACATGAGGTGAACTTTTAGAGTTCACACCCATGCTATTCAGTTACATTTTGCCAAGTTCAACAACTTTGAACTACGAGCTATGTTCCCCTTTGTATGCTATATTAATGTCAATGAATTAAACTACTGAACTATTAATGCAGTTATAATGTCTCTTGTATATAAGCTAGTCTTTGAATTCACTAATCCTATTAAGTCATAAGTCATGGAAGACAGTTTCAAAATTAGTATGATTAGGACAACTGGAGGCATGGCTTTCTTGATGAAGCTTTTTCTATTAAAATGATTCCTTTTATAAACAAAATGAGAGAATAATATCTATTAACAGATGCGTTCCTTGCTGTCTCTTTATTTGCTAAAGGTGTTGATTGATTAAAATGGTATTATTACAGTTTAAAACAAATTGAAGGAATCTTCTTACCATTTTATGTATTCTGATCACCAGCATTCTTTAGGTTTCACGTTTTATTCTCTGGATATTCCAGCAATGTTTTACTTTCTTGACCTTTTTACTGAAAAAAAAAATATATATATTTCTAATTAACAATGTAGTTACATAATAATGATGCATAATTTTGAGCATAACCAGAAAATACAAATAAAAACCTGAACATTATAACTGAACTAATGGCATTTATTTAATGCAGCTACATAGTAATACAAAACAAAATGCAATAGATTTAAAATTTCAGCTAGTTGAAGTAACGCAGTCAGTATGGACATCTGCCTCCTGAAATCCAATACACAACAGTGGTGGAGCGCCAGAGCCAGGTCCCAGCTGCAACCACTGCAACCATGGTAGTTCTCATGGAAATGCCAAGTATCTGCACTGGTACTCGAAAAGTATCTGTGCATCCCTAGTCAACAGTGTGACTCCTACTGCTTTCCAAAGTGCTGCCGCTCAAGTTTGAATGTATTTACAGGAGGAGAGCGCAGAGTGTGTTGAATCTCCATTGCACAATCAGAGGCTTAGGGGCAGGGCAGTGACCAAGCTGTATTGCTTAACTGCAGTAAAAAAAAAAAGTAAGGTCATTGATTTGACTAGTCTGTCTGGCAGTGGTTCTAGAATTACATGATGGCATGAACACAATTGCAAATCTTCAGGTCGCTGAAACAGTGGGCAGCATAGTGGCTTTGTGGCATGCACTTCTGCCTTGCAGCACTGGGGGTCCCTGATTCATAACACCATCTGAAGGGAGTTTGGATGTTGTGCCTCTGATTGTGTTTGTGCTTCCTCCCACACTCCAAAGACATACTGGGAGGTTAATTAGCTCCTGACTAAATTGACTCTAGTATGTATGCATGTGAGACATGGACCTTAGATTGTAAGCTCCTTGAGAGCATGGACTGATGTGTATGTAAAGTGCTGCAAAAATTGTTGTCGCCATATAAGTACCTGTAGTAAATAAATGTATATATTTGTCAACTATGCATGCAGATGTTTGCATGGAATTCAGGTTTAAGACAGGACATAATGTCAAATCTTAGCAAAATGTATATATAATAATATTTAGAATAATAGATCATAGTTAACAGCCAGCTTAAGTGCCTAAACTAAAAAGTTTTTCTAACTTTGAACAGAAGTCAGAACCCCACTCAGATTTTTGTTGCTATCTGTGTCCATACTAGGGAACTTCCCGTAGTATTATTGTACTAACCGCACCAGCAGGACATCAGCAGAGTCTCTCTAGAGGAGATACAACCATAAATAAAAGGACAATTTCTAGAGGTAGAGTGGGTTAAAATATTCATCATGTTTTAATTCATGACTGCGTCCTCTTTGGTGAGCTGCCCTCTACTCCCTCTGTGGCCACAGGGACTGGGAAATCCACAATGGGGTCAACAATAAAACCTAAACATCTAAACTCAATTAGACCTTATCCCAGTTACAGTATAAACAGACCTGTGTGTCTACATTTTAGTAATTGACAGCTGAACACTGATTGGAGATGATAGTATAGAGTGTTTGATCATGTTCAATTGCCAGTGTTGGAAAAAAAGAAAATTATATAGTAACAGTGGCATATTTTAGTAATAGGAAAAGGTGTGCTTTTGCCACTGACAGAAATTGAAAGTTACTAAACCTTTAAAGCATCTAGGAAAATTGTAATCATCAAAAAATCACAAAAAAAACTTCTACTTTTTAGGGCTGACAGATTTTTTTTGTCCAACTAATGCACCCAAAAACTAAACTCCTCAGCACATAAAACACAAGCACCTCATTGACTGTGAACTATAAAACCTGCTTATCTCTGCATATACAGTTTAAAACTATATGGGGATTGTTGGCAGCTCAGAAGAACCTCTAAAAAGGTCAACTATATGTAAACCCTTTCAATGAACGTGTCTTAGGTGCTCACTTTTTGTTCTGTTGAATATAACAATATACCAAAAATTGTTTATATCTGTTCAATAAGTTAAAAAAGAAAGCTGATCCTGCCAAAAGCCGAGCACTGTCCTGTGTACTCCACAGAGTTATCTCAAACAATTTTCTGGAAGTGTGTGAGAACTACCGTATAACACCTCCTATATTAAAGAGGTGAAACGAGGGGAAGGTGTTCTGTAATCCTAACATACTTCCTGTCCTAGGATGACAACACTGCTCCTTAATAGATAAAGTACAGTGTATAAGCTTTGTCAACCTATGTATGTGTGTTACTGGCAGTATCACCAGGTGACAATAAACAAAACTGAAAAAAAATAATTTTCATATTTGGGGCGAACCCAGTCTGAACCTGAGCTCCTCTGAACCCACAAGGAGTCCCTGGCACCCAGTCAGCTGCTGGTGCAGAAGCTTGATGTAAGCAAATGGGCTGGATGCAGTGACATCAATGACCTTATATGGGTACATGCCTCTATTTGGTGAATTACATTTACCTAATATGGCTATATGGCCATATTAGGTAACAGACGTCAGCACAAGCATCCTGCCCCTTTGTTTACATGCAGCTGCGGGGTGGGGAATGCCCCTAATGCAGCTGATTGGGTGGAAGTGCCCATGGAGTTCAGATTCAGTCAAAGAAGAACTAGTAAGATGCACTACCAGTACTTCTTTGACCAAACCCGAGCTCTTCCAAAGAAGGAAGTGCCATGGGCGCTTCCACCGAATCAGCTTACTTTTTTGTTCTCGAGTCTTAGAGACCCTTTAACTTAGAGGTTAAAAATATTATAAAATGTTGTTCAAACGTTTAAAAAGCAGGAAAAAAAGTATTCACTTTTTAAAAAGCTGCCCTTTGCAAAAACAGGTGGTGAAATATTACAGTAGGCAATGATAAAAATAAAAAACTGGAATGCATGGACATTATCAATAACAAAACTGCTGTTATAAATGCCTTGATAAATTGCATGAATATATCAAAAATTAAATTTTGAAAAACCAAATTAGAAAGGTTTCTCACCTGTTAATTAATATTTATCATAGAAGATTATGCTGTCATTATGCTTTATTTCAATAAATATTAGACCTACATGTGGATTGTTATTGCTATTATGGAGATGATTGTTATCATTGAGTGGTTTCCATGGTTTCCGGGAGAGCCACGATGGTAGAAATGTTATACAATGTTGTACAGTTACATGTATAAATACTTTTAAAACACTTTAGCTTCAGAATATTATTTTCTGTCCACAAGGTATGGGGTTAAATAATTGCACAATATGGGACATAATTGTGCTATGTGTTGAAAAGACATCTCTGCAAATAAATGTATCACCAAGGCAACGTGCATTACGTATGCTGATTTTGAATGTCTTGTTGCATTTCCACAGCAATAAAGCATTGAAAAGGTGATGTTGTGTGTCAGTGGAGCCATAATATTCCCATATTGCTATTCCAGACATAGAGCACTTCTCAGAGACACTGTTTGTCTAGAAAGATTTCCATTGTGTCTGAATCGGTGCACTAGTATTCAACACCCAATAATTCAGATCTTCACTGGCTAAACTATAAAAACGATTTCACTGCTTGAATCATAGTGTTAGAGCATTAAACACCAGTTAGATTTCAGGCATATTTCTCAAGAACAGCTTTTTTTTTCAGGCCTTAACAGTTACAAGGAAGAAAAATAAAAATGTAAGTGAAATGCTAACATCTTGCATTAAAGTGACACTAAACTCAGAGTTGAACCTTAAAAATGCATTCATGTTCCTTAACTAGTGTATTAACAAAACTGTACTTTATGTGTGTATCACTCAGCTGTAGATCCTCAAATCATCTCTGAATTCATGCTGACACTGTCCTACCTCCTGGAGGGTGGCTACGTTTGTTCCCCATGGTCCCTGTGTGTGTTGTTAAGTAGTCACTACAATCTCATGTTAGGGTTACTCATTTGTATTGAAATTATAGTCCATCACTGAAGCGACAGTGTCAGCACAATTTCAGAGATGATTTAAGGATCTACAGCTGAGTGACGCACACAGAGGATACAGATTTGTTAATAGTTAAGGTACTTGAACGCATTTTTAAGATTTAACTCCGGAGTTTAGTGTCACTTAAAAGAAACATGGAGGCTGCCATTGCTGAACACTCAATCTGAAAATGCTAGTTGCCTGGCCATGATATTGTTTATGTTGCTTGAATACATCTTTTTACAAATGGTCACCCTCATATTTCTATTAACTAACGCAATCACTAAAATAACGTCAAAACATATTAGTTTAGTTTCATAAGTAATTATTATTCTTTTTAAATCTGCAGCTTTCACTAAAAATAATTTTCTATCTTTTTAAAGCTGCAACTTTTATTAAAATACTTGAAAGGTGAACTCTTGAAGGTCCCTGCTCAGACACTTTCTGTTACAAGGTGATGCTTTTTCCCTATTTCCCAGTTGTACCCCTTGTGATGCTGCAGAACATGCAAGTAAAAAGGGATTGTATGCAAAAAGGTGTCAGGATCAACAGCACTGAGATACAAGAATGAAAAGAGAAATAACAAGTATGTAATTAGAAAAAATGGCAGTTGTTTATGAAACACAATGCTTCAGCATATTGGGTCATTCAGTTAGGCTTTACATGTGCTTATGATATATGATGTACATTTTGTATAAGATGAGGCCAAAATGAAGGTTTTGCAAGTCCACTGCAACAAAGAAATGACCAGAAAGAAACTTTTACAGTTGATCCTGCGTCGCATAACCATACAGCCATATGTAATTTTACAAGCAGTAAAGCTTACTACTGATCATAAAAAAAAGACAAAAATGCATCTATATGGCATTTAGAAAAAGTAGAATTGTAGGTCAGTGACTACACATTTTTCAGTTAAGCGTATATAACCCTAAATGTTTTCCAATAACCCAGAATCTCACCCTCACCCCCTGTATATATTCTACTCTAACTTTGATAACTCCAGACCACAAAAAATGCTCATGTTAAGTACAGCGATAATACAGAACAGGCTAATCATTAAAGTGTATGTAACACTTACATACACTCAAAAATGTTCATTCTTGTGCCACTATCCTCTTTTTACTAGAAATACCTGCTGATCCTGCCAGTTCCCATCCCTT